AGGAAATTATTGAAACAAAAGAGGAAGATTTTAAGTGTTCAGTTTTTAAGGCTATAATTATCTATTTAACGCTGTTCATTTGAACAGATTTGAATAGCAAATATATGAAAACCGTTTTATTAGTTTTCAGATGCGAAGGTAGCGTAACGGTAATCGGTGTGTAAAAGGAAATTACCGAGCTGAGATACATTTCTGAACCTCGTTTGTTGCGTTCGCATTAGAAATAACGTTCTTTGGTAAAATCATGACCCCATCTCATCTACCAACTACACTTGGTTAAATAAATCTAGAGACAGTGTTTTTTAGCCTTGGTTGGCAGTTAGTGTAGGAGAATAAATATGGCCAATTCAAAACCATGTAGAAGGCAAATAAATAAATAAAATAACTGTCAAATTCACCCAAATTCTGATTTATTCATTTATTATTTAGCGGCATATCAACATGTATGGGTTATTTAATCCTGAGATATTAATATTTTCAACACAATTGTATGACTTGTATTGCTGATTATGTAAAGGGTGTCTCATTAAGAGGGATTATATATAAAGGTGTTTCATTAAGACGGATCAAAGGCAGCAGTGTTATTAGTGAAAATCTATTTATTTCTCTATTGTATCATGTTATTTAATTCATGACAATTGTGTGAAAAATAATATCACCCAGATGTTCACCAAATATGAAAGAAAAAGAAAGCAATCATTAGACGTTTAAAATTATTCACATATGAAGTTATTGGAACACCCTTTATTATTAGTCTCTCTCTCTCTCTCTCTCTCTATATATATATATATATATATATATATATATATATATATATATATATATATATATTCATTATTTGTCCATTGCTGGGACCATAACAGGTGCTACCACCCGGGGTTGGGGTGGACCTTTGGAAACAACAATTAAGAGATGGTTCCACGCCCCTCAAAAACTTCAATCTTTCGATCAGAGGCCTTCACTGTGTCGCGTTTAAAAAAGTTTTCTCATCAGAATTTATATCGCACGTTTATAAATCTAGCATTCATCCGTGTATTGAATTTTGTTCCAATATCTCGTCTTGTGGTCCTACTATGTATCACAAGATTCTTGACAAAATCCAGAGATGGGTCTGCTATTCAATAGATCCTAACCAGGCATCTCCTCTCCAGTAATTTTCTCATCGACGTGATGTGGCTTCCCTCTATTCTACAGATATTTTCATGACAATAGCTTCGTGCCCGACAGTATAAATTTCAGCGTACTACAAGATTGATAATCAGTTCTCACCGTTTTGACATTGAACTAGCAAGATGAAACCACTATTTCTACTCTGACAGTTTATTATTTTCTCTCGTAATTCCAATCTGTGGAAATATTTTTTATGATTTCTCGCTTCTCAGATAACTACAATCTTCAAAAATTTAAATTCAACATCAACTGTCGTCTTCTGTCTTATTGAAACATGTTCCACTTTTGCCCTTTCTTTAATCCTTCACATTTCTCAGTTTTCTCAGTTTCTTCCACTTTCACTTCCTGTAACTAACTACGTCTTAGTGGAATTATTGCCTTGCTTCGGGTGAATATGATTTTAAATAAAAATATCATTAACTATGAAATGCACACAAACAAATACATAGATAATCACTTGGGCAATTGTTATCTATAAAATGATTTAACACGAGATAAGACTGAGACCAGTTGGATCAAGGTGCGAGACAAAATTTTGCTATAATTAAAGGTTATTTTTGAATTTGCTCCCTGTCTGATCATGTTACTCATTACCTATTTCGTGCGACAATGTGTAAGTATATAAATATATAAGGCATAATGTGTGATAATTTACAATTAAGAGCTGAAAAAATTATTTTAGAAACATTGCAGAAAATGGTGTTCAATTATTATCATTTAATTGCAAATTATCGAGCTTGTTTTTCATTACCAAAAGTTAGTAGTTTTGAGGAGTATTGGAACTATATACTAAGTCCATAATTTTCTGGTTTAGGTACTTTAAGGTTGTCAAATTTTTGTATTTCATTATCTCTATCTAAAAATAGAAAGGATATGTGTGTGTGTGTGTGTGTGTGTGTGTGTGTGTGTGTGTGCACGGCCACAATTTTCGACGGATTTGCACCAAAATTTACATGCACATGCTCGAAGTTAAAGGGAAAACCAAGACTGACTTTGCATTTCCCAACTCCCATCGATAGCGGAAATAATCGACTTTTTCATGCTTTTACGGCAGTTTTCATGAAGTTTGCGGCCATTTTCTACTGGCCAGATTGAGAGCCAATAGCTGGCTGCCACGAATAGGCAGAAAGATTCTATTGGCTAGCGTGAGAGCCAACAGCGGACTGACACGAATGTTAACTAGCATGCTAGCATGCAAACAAAAAAAAATCGATGGCTGCATTCGTCACAAGTGGGAAAAATTTAAATCTACATGACACTTTACTTCAATTGGCTCATTCGCTTGCTTAAACTCAACGTTGATTCTGATTCCGCAGAATTGGGTTGGCTGTGAAAAAATATTTTTTGCTAACCTTCTTTTTTCATTCGGTTTTTCCAGTTACGAGACCTTTTTTAAAGCTGATTGTTTTGTGTTCATTTTGTTTCGTTCCTTTTTCGTAACAGATTTAATCTTTAGAATAGAGCTTAGAAAAAATTCGCAGTGTGAGATAGGCAAGAAGTAAGGCATGTAGCAACATCAGTACGGCAAAGGGCACTCCTTTAAAGGCAAGGAAGAACAAAAATATTTTAAGTCAAGTGATAGCGATTGCTGTATGTGTCGTACGATTTTTGAATCAAGCACGGGCAACGCCGGGTCATACTACTAGTGTACATATATGATAAAATAAAGTTTTAAGATATGTTATATTTATGCGTTAAAGTGCTCAATATCAGGGATGGGACGTACATAAAAGTGGACACTGAGGTCAAGCCATGATCGAAACTCGACTAATTTGACATCAGCCAGAAACACTAACCCTAAGGTATCGGCGCACGGCAGATAAGGAGAAATAGTATACGTGATGTATATAAACGACAAATCAGCCAGAGCGCTCAATTCATATGAAGAGATATACGTTATAAGCAGGAGCAGCTACTCTTTTAAAATTTTATTTATACATACATAGGTATGTGTGTGTGTGTGTGTGTCTGCGTGTGTATGCTTAAATAATTTAGATAAGTTTTGTCTACTTATTTTTAATAATATCCTCTCATAATTACGGATAGTTTACTTAGTATCCGTATTAACGGAAGAAAGAAGATTACCATGTTGATGCATATTCATTTTATTCCGAGTATTTTCGACATTAGCACAATATTATCACCAGGGTCTTATTTTTCTACGACAAAAATTTGACAAAATTGTTGTGTTAATCTAAAAATTAAATTTTTACATGTGAAGTGAAAAACGCTAAGGATATGTGCTGTACATTTTTTATTTTTTTCATGGAGACACACGGGCAAACGTCAAGGGAGGTAAGTTCTTAAAATGTCTAAACACTTTTAAAAAAAATCTATTTAAACCTATAAATTAAAACCTAGATATTTCAAACTATCTACTTTAAACTTTTTTTTACAAACATTTGTGCAGCATTCGAATTAATTTCATTAAGGGTTGGTTTCAATTTTTTAATATAGATAGCTTCGAGAGATTTTAGTTTATGCTTGTAAATTATTGTAAATAATTATTTACAATAATATATAAACATATAAACAAGCTAAAGATTGAATAGGCATCACGTTTGAGTCGGTTAAGTCACGTCGGTTCTAATGACAGTTCACCGCTACCCTGGGTGATACAGGTTCGAATCCTGCCTGAGGGCGCATATTTTCTTTAATAAGAAAATAAATATATTGTTCAATAAATAAACGGCGCGTCCTCTCAAATATGAGTATTTATAAATATTGCGTATAGATTGATAGATAAGGACAAATAATTATTTAAAATCAAAGTTTAATCGTGTTCAAATATAATTCACTTATGTGAAAATTATAGAATCTCACTATAGAAAACCTATATAGAGCTACTCGCAATTATATCTATCATACTTATCTATACATCTATGACAGTTTTCTTTTATATTTATTTTGCATATTTATTTTCATTTTATGATTAATGTTTGAGTGTCTATGTATAAGAACGTTTATATGAACTTGATGGTATAAATATAAGCATTCCGTCATCCTTGTCAGTGCGTTAACTTGAATACGTATGTACTTTTGGTTTTTAGCATAAATATGTAACGAAGCTTGAAGCGATTTATGATAGAAAGAAAATGAAAACTTTCTGAGGGATTCGTCGCGGGTACAGCCATCATTTCACAGGGACTTCAAATTTATTTTTGACACAGCATCGTACATCAGAGGAACAAACAAATGACAAATAAATCAAACGGCAGTGAAAATCGAACCCATTTATCGGGCCGTCGTTATTCATGCCCAACTCAGGTCATAACCCTGCGACCGAGAGTCCAACAAATGATTTAAACGCAAATGCTCTCCCGTTCCGAGATAGACGCGCCAACACCCGGACAGATATACGGCGATATACGCTTCCACTCTCAAAGGCACGTTCACGCAGATGTACAAATGTTTAATGGAAATCGACGAATATACACCTATAAAAAGACTCACTTATACATAAGCAGAAGCACACACACACATACATACATACATGCATATATACATACACACACACACACATATATATATATATATATATATATGTATAATAAACGCGCGCACTGAAATATACACAGATAAAATATACATGGGAAAAAATTGTGTTCTCAAATGTAATAATACTTAATCATATATATATATATATATATATGTGTGTGTGTGTGTGTGTGTATGTGTCTCTGTGTGTGTATGTATACATATATATATGTACGTATATATAAGTATTTATAGTATTAATATATATATATATATATATAAAATACACACACACACACACACACACACACATATATATATATATATATATATATATATATATATATATATATTTATGATTCTTTTTCCAAATAGTGATAGATAGATAGATAGATAGATAGATAGATAGATAGATAGATACCGGGTGGAAGATATTCATTATCAACATTATAATTCCAAACTCACGTTTTTTTGTGTGTGTGTGTGACGTTCCATCAGAACATCTATAAACACGAACGGACTATAATATAAAATTTATCCAGCTATGATATTAAGAAGAAAAATCCGCATTTTAAAAGACATGCTAAATACGTTAATTCGTAAAATGGATAAAAGTGACTTTCACAAATGGAAATGTGGCTACCGGCATTGAGATGGAACATCACACACAAAAACCTGTGTCTGAAATAAATAGATATATATATTTATAAGTTATTTTCATAAATACAAATATTTAAGCAAATGCTCAGTTAATAATAAACATGATAACCTACAATTACCGTCCGGAATGACCGAGAAATTTCATAGAAAATATGTCATCCGACAGGAATCGAATCTGTATTCTACACCGAACCGTTATAAAGCCTGACTTTCTATAACATTTAGCTACAGAGGAAGCAGCTTGTTAGCAAGGTCGAATAACTGCTTTTAAGCCGCAACTTTCCCTTGATTTAAAAAAAAAAATTCTGAGAATTCACCCTAAATAATGTAAATTTACTCATCGCGAGTATTAATTCAGCTCAAGAAATTATATATTTTAAATCAAAATTTGGTTGTTTTTTTATTAAATTTTTGGAACTCTACTGAAATAAAAGGGAAATAACTGAGACATCCGGACGAGGCGTTGCACGTAGAACTAGACGTTTCTAACCCGTTGAACGAAATAAGGGGTTCGGTTCGAAATTCCAATCACCTGAAGAAGGCTGGAGATTACAACGTTCGAAACGTTGTGAATATGACAATGAAGATGAGGATAACAGTCTGAATTATGTAAATAATGCAAGTAATCATAATACCTCATCTCAGAGATATAGGCAAATATATAGAGAGACACTGACCGAAAGGCCGAAACGTTGTGAATATGGCAATGAAGATGAGGATAACAGTCCGAATTTTGTAAATAATGTAAGTAATCATAATACCTCATCTCAAAGTTAGAGACAAAACGAAACTAGTACCAATCTTCTCAGAAAACAGAAGAGTAAACCTATCAGCACAAATAATATTGTATTAAGATTGTAGAATCAGATTCCTACATTTTTTTTTAAATCTTAAATTTTGTGCAAGTTAAACACATAGAGGCTCCCAGCCAAATATAACAACTGATGTATTTTGATTGGTTGTAAAATATTAATTAGGTGTCGTCAACTACGTCCGAAGGTACCGACCCAATTTTTGACCTCTAGTTGATGCCATAAAATGTAAACATGTTTACGAGCCTCCCCACGTGACCAAGAGAACTAATAAAAACGAAACTTCGACGCGACTTGGTCAGTGGGCACTTAAAATATTGAAACCAATTCACTTGACTTCATTGGAAATCAACACAGCAAAGGAGACGAACTTTATTTTCAATACAACAACAAACTTTGTCAACCATTTCCAGGGTTAACGCTCACTCCCACAAAATATTCCATTCCACAAGAATCTCTGGTTAATGAGCGATAACTCTATAACAATCAGTGAGTCAAGAACAATACTTTTTTTCTATTTAATACACAAAAAAACATCTGTTTAATTTTCCTATAAAACAAATATAGCTTACTAAACCTTGTCATTTTCACACATACAGTACAGTAACTCAAATTCTTTCAGTAACACACACAAAAGAACTCTATTGTGTTTATCAACTTTTTTCACTATATATTATGTATTTGTTGTGTTTATAAAAATATTTATTGTTGAACAAATTCATAATTTCTTCTACTTGATTATTTCTCTTGTTGTTGTCTTTGTTACATTTGATATTGTAAAAATTGTAGAGGGTCAGTTTTTATTTCTATTTATAACCAATACAAATTGGCTGACCCACTATAAGATCTATCAAACTCCACACACATGTGGGTAAGTATTAACGCGGCCACCTAGGTAGGGATTTAAACAAATAAACCTAGCTCGACCCCACTTCAAATAGCTTTAAAAATTCCCTTAATCCTACTTTTCGAGAACTTTAAAGTCATTGATCCTAAGATATTACCGTATTTGAAGGCATATAATACGCACATGTGCATAACATTAGCAGGACAAATTAAAAAAAAAAAGTAATTAGTAAAATTATTAGTAAATGGTACAGATATATTTATGAGGTATTATTTTGGTTAAAGAAGCCATGATTACAATTAAACGAAAAATAATAGGAATAAGAGAACACGGGCCTATCAAACTTTATTATATCTAAAGGTAAGAAAACAAAGTAAAAAGCAAGCAATTATAACAATTGAGCAAAATAATACAGTTACCATTAAAATTCAGTCATAAATTTTCCTTTATATCATCTGTACAACCTGCATCTTGTAAACGTCTTATTGGAATAATTAGGACATAAAAATTCTGATTGTATTTATACCAATGCAACCGGAAGTCATCACAAGAAAAATATCAATGAAATAAATATATTTTACAAATATATAATTTGAATATATTTCATATAATTTTAGTGAAACAAAGTACTAATATTAAACCTAATGAAATTAATATAATAAATATTATCAATGATAACACTTTTAATCCGCATAATAGCTTTTTAATTAATGACAAGAGGTATATGGAAGTTACCCTAAAGTCTAAGCTAATTGGAGTTGCATGGTAGCTAAATTCGGTTGACTATTGCGGATTTTAAACCTACATATGGCATATAAGTTGCAGGGGAATTTTAAAAGATATTTATAATCAAGAAAAACATGACCGTCAAATACAGTAATTCCATCAACGCCATTCATTGAAGGCATTCCTTAACCCTGATAACAGTAGACAACCTAGCTTCGTTAGAAGCTGAATGTGTATTTGCGAACATTCCCATCAAACAATCTATAGACAAAGCAATAAATAATATATAAGTATTTTTGCTTACACGTACAAATATTAAACAAACAAATCTACGTAAATTTCCATCTTACTCGATGCTGGTACCTTCATTTCATTTCATTATCTTAACATTTACATAGCAATGGTCTACGCTCACGGCCCAATTGTATCTGATTTCAAAATGATAGAGGGAGAAAATAAAATCTTTTTATAAGTTCGCGAAAATTATGGTATATTTTTCATATATCTATGATAAACAAGAATTTAAAAAAAAAATTAAATTAACTAAATAGTTAGAAGATAGATAGATAGAAAAAAAAATCCGATCGACAATTCATAAAAGGGTCTGTTACAGATATATTATAGATATATAGATAGATAGATAGATAGATAGATAGATAATATAGATAGATAGACATAGATAGATAGATAGATAAAAGACACTCTGTTATAGATAGATAGATAGATAGATAGACAGATAGATAGATGATAGATAGATATAGATAGAAAAGACCCTCTGTTATAGATAGATATGATATAGATAGATAGATAGATAGAAAGATGAATGATATAGATAGATAGATATGGATAAAAGATAGATCTGTTATAGATAGATATGGATGGATAAAAGACCCTCTGTTATAGATATAGATAGATAATAGATAGATAGATAGATAGATAGATAAAAGACCCTTTAGATTAAATAGATAGATAGATAGATAGATAGATAGATGATAGATAGATAGATAGATAGATAGATAGATTAGATAGATAAAAAGACCTAGATAGATAGATAGATAGATAGATAGATGAATAGATAGATAGATAGATAAAAAAACACTCTGTTATAGATAGATAGATGATAGATAGATAGATAGATAGATAGATAGATAGATAGATAGAATGGATAGAAAAAGACACTCTGTTATAGATAGATGGATAGATAGATATAGATATAGATAGATAGATAGATAGATAGATAAAATAGATAGATAGACCCTCTGTTATAGATAGATAGATAGATAGAGATAGATAGATAGATAAAAGACCCTCTGTTATAGATAGATAGATAGATAGATAGATAGATATAGATAAATCCTTTATAGAAATATAGATGGGCTTATTAAAAGACCACATCATATTGATCATCGAATTTAAGCAACATCAAATCTGATCAGTAGGTAGATGGGTGACCGCTTGGGAATACCACGTGCTGTAAACTCGACTGTGCGTCTGGTATAATGGATAATGGCTCAGTATTATTAATCGGAGAGCCGAGTTCCAATTCCGGTTAGGTTCGTTATATATTCATTGATGCCATGGGAAATGTGTAACTCCCTCTCTTCTCAGCCCAGTTAATTGGTAAGACTTGAATCAGAAAAAAAACTTACTCCAAGACTTAAAAAAAATGCGTACGTGGGGTATTTATATATAGAGAGAGATAGCGAAGTATATAAATATAATTATTTATATATATATATATATATATATATATATATATATGTGTGTGTGTGTGTGTGTGTGTGTGTGTGTGTGTGTGTGTAAGTAAATGCTAGAAATATTTTTTAAGTAGTTAAAAACTACAAGATTCCTCAACAGAATGCAGAAAGCACTGGAGGAATGTTTCGTCCTATTTTAGGATCATCAGCAGTGCGCATCTACTACCAAGAATCGAACCCAGGCCGTTACGATACAACAAAGAGGTAACTCTTTGCATTCTTCTGAGGAATCTTCTAGACTCGGTGAATTACTTTAAAAAATTCTATTACTTATATATATATATATATATATATATATATACACACACACACACACATATATATATATATATATATATATATATTCCATGGTTATAATTTATTACATTGGAATCGTAAACACTCATTCATCCGACCTACAAATTCATAAATAAATCGGAAAATATAACTCCGGATATGAAAAAAAGAAATCCATCTCTTTTGAAATTATTCACATGTTAGTAAAGATAAATACACATGCTCTCACATTACATTAATCCATTTTAACAGAACACTAGTTACTTCAGCCATTCTTCTTAATCGAAACCTTAAGAAATCTGTTTAATTAAAAGACCGAGCTATGTTTAAAGCCACAAATATCTGAGTTATAAACTTTAAGATATATGAAAGATAATGGAAATTATCTGAAATCTCAGTGTATACAAAGTTTTAATAAAGAAATCAGAAAAGAGACCATTAATGTATTTAAGATTTTATATTTTTAATAATAGTCGTTTGAATTATTCTTATCTTCAGATAGTTCTTGCTACAAAGAAAGTGTCCTGTAAAGACTTGGTAACATTCTTATTTTGGAACGAACATAAAAACAAGAAAGGAAATACGGCGTAAAAAAAAATAACAATTCTTAAAAGCTTATAAAAGAAAGAACGAAAGAAAGAAAGAACGAAAGAAAGAATGAAACAATTAAATGAGGAACGAAAGGAAGAACGAAAAAAAGGAATAAAAAAATAAAAAAAAGGAATAAAAAAAATAAAAAAAGGAATAAGAAAGAACAAAAGAAAGAAAGAAAGAAAGAAGGAAAAACGAAAGAAAGAAAAAAAGAAAAAAGAAAGAACGAAAGAAAGGACAAAAAAGAAAGAACAAAAATGGCCTCCACTTTTCTCTTCATCCCTGAAGAGATTATCCAAAATTTACAGTCATACAAGATTATTGCTATCACTTGCCTATTCAGCACTCCTTTCTTTGATTTTAACGATATGTTCTTGTTTCTCAATAGTTTTTTTAGATTTTAAAATATATCAATGCCTGTTTGGATTTCGATGTGGCATTTTTCAATCAACTTTTATATAATTGTAAAGAGTGTCATCGTTAAAAATTATCTAATTCTGATCAAAATAAATCCTTCAAATAAAAAGAACCCCAAAGTTTTAATTACTAACAACAATTATATCAGCTCTTACTAAATTTTCGGGTGTTTAGTTTGTTTTTCTTCCCGACACCATTTCTTCCGCTAGACTTAGCTGTGATGACGAGGTGATACCATTACAAATTAAAGCTCCTTCAATAGTAGCGATAATGTAATCATTTTTTCCTACATCTAACTAAAAATATTATCTAATACAGAGTGGGGGATTACAGGGTGCGATGGGTAAATTATCGCCATTTAATATTTTTAATTTTCCACATCTGCGTTAAGTGTTTTTAATTTTGTCCCCCGCATAGTATAGTAGGGTCAGTTGGAAAGTGAGAAAAGAAGCACTCTGACGCAATTCACACCACCAGAAAGTTAGAAACGGTATGTTGCACTGCTTGGCATTCGCGCTTGAAATTTTAATACGAATATTTCAGATAATTTATGTGTCATTTGAGGACAGCGTAGAGGATTCGAGAAGAGTTGGATGAGTATAATGGTGATTACGAAGCTCGGAAAACTCATTCTGATCATCCTTATGAGAAAAGAACTTCCGAATTTGTTGGTGAGATCCTCAAACTTAAACACGGAGGTTTATATCAAGTGCCTTGAGGAGGTAGTGCCGCTCTGGGTCAAGAGGGTGGCTGCTGGAAGACCCTGTGCCTGGCAAGAGGACTCTTTACCATGCCACACACACACAGGAGAACCCTCTTATCGCTGCCAGACAATTTATGCGACCATATCACCCGTTACACCTGGAGGAAAGAATTATGGCATCATTCACCAACTTAGAAAAGGAAAGGATCAAGTCTTCCAGGGTAAGACGATATACTACATGTGACAGCAATTAAGAGGTGGGTTTTGAGGAGTATGGAATCACCTCTTAATTGCTGGTGTTCCCATGCCCACGCTGGACTGGGGTGCTAGCCCCTGTCAGGGTCCTACCTTTGGCAAATATTTAACCTCACAAAAGGGGTCAAAACACTATAAAAGTATAAAAATATGTTTTTTACCAGCAATACTTTTTTTGAGAAAATATTACCAGCAGTACATTTTTGAAAAAATATTACCAGCAGTACATTTTTTAAAAAATTACCAGCAGTAGATTTTTGGCAAAAAAAATTACCAGCCCTAAACTTTTGGAAAAAAAAAATATTACTAGCAATAAAAATCTTGTCGGCATTAAGTAACCCAATGAGGTTGATATGCAGTAAAACAAAACAAAACAAACCAAGACAAAACCGTCCAGAAGATATACAAGGTATTCCGAAGTCGTCTGGAGACCATGCTTGAAGCCAATGGTGATTTTGTTGAAAAAATTTACTCTTTAGTATTCCACGATATTATTTCTTTACTTTTGGCAAATATGTCTGTTAAAATGTCAGTGTCATTTGATGTTTGCTTAATATGGACGAGAATTTTTTCATCGCACCTGTATGTGGAACATGGATGTACGTAGTAGCATCAACAGATCTGTCGCTTAACCCTGAAAATTATTTATGTTTTTAATCATTTCATCTTAGGGAAGGCAATAAATGAAGTGAAAAGTAAAGAAGACTTTAGTGAGGAGAAGTGAGGAAAAGCACAATAAAGGAAGGGGATTCTGGAAGACAGAATATGGCAATTGACGTTGCATAGAAATATTTGAAGTTTTTTAGGAGACGGCATAGCAAGAAATCAGAAGAGTTTTTCACATGCAAGAAAGGCGATAAAATAAGCTAAAGTGGAACCTCGGTTCACGAATTTAGTTCGTTCCTGAAGCTTGTTCGTAACCCGAAATGTTCGTAAGCCAAAAATATTTTTCCAATAGGAATCAATGTAAAATGAATTAATACCTTCCTGGTTCCAAGATGCTTGCTTATGTAGACTTTTACGATAGTGCACAAGTTTATACGCAAAAGTAATGAAAATTATTAAATCTAAGAAAAAATAAATAAACCCAATTCTAATATATAATATAGATGTACCTGTAAGTGAGGAGAGTTGATGGCGTAAGTGGAAAGGGAAGGAAAGAGATGTTATTGTTTTGAAAACGGGAAGGAAAGACACGATCATCTCTTTATTTATAAGAATAATATAGATCGTTGATTTTGCCATATGAAACTGAGTAGGAAGAGACAATATCATCATCATAGAGACAATATCATCAACAATTGTTTTTCTCTTAACTTTTCTTTTTGCTTTACCAGTATCACTGCTATCTTTCTTTGGAGCCATGACTGAGGACTAATAAAGAGAAGAAAAAGGCACAGTACAATAAAACTGGAAAAGAAAATCACAGGACAACACACAAATGTATACAACATGGCGGTTGATACAGAAATGATTCCGTTTGGGTTAAATCGGTTCGGCTCGGTTCGACAATATTCTTCGATAACCGAGGCATTTTCATCTCGAATTTTGTGTTCGAAAACCGATTTCTTCGACATGTGAGACGTTCGAAAACCGAGGGTGCTCTGTATTAGAATAGAACTGGCGGCTACATCTAGCTAGTTCAAGAATAAAACGCCGAGCCATTAAGGAAAATACTTCATCAGAATAACTGCCATGAAGATATTTATAAAGAAGACAGAGGGGGGCCATGTCATGTTGAGGAGAAAGTGACTGAAGTTGAGATGCTTGGTAAGGATCAATTATCTTTCAAACAGTTTTTGAATTTTGTCAAGAATCTCGAGATATTTATATGAATCATTGCGACATTTTCCTTCCTGGCCAATGCAATTTAATGCAGACGTGTATATTAATAATAGAGTCCGAAAATGATAAGCTGAAAAATACAGCTAATAACTACTAGGATGCGAACTTATTGATTCCTCTATATGTGCATTACTGTGTCTGTGTGTTTAGTGTACATGTTTCTTCAAAAGTCATGTTATGTCAAATTTTGGCGTTTGTGTATATGCGTATACGTGTATGTGTACTGATTTATGCATTGTGAAGTGTACGTAAACTTGCATATTTATGTATATAAGGTAGCGTATTTATTTGCATGTGTATATAAGTATACGGAATTAGGAATATATGCTCAGACGAACGACATTCCATAGTTTCACCAAATCTTCATCGAGTGGCTCTCAGGCCTTATGCAGCGTGAAGATCATTGTGAAAAACAATAAATGTTCAGAAAAGCTTTCAGTTCAAACAACTGGGAGATCCCCGAATAGATTTTCTTTTGGAAAGACATCATGGTGGTTAGTATATATATATATATATATATATATATATATATATATATATATATATATATATAATGGACTCACCGTCGGTTTCGACGTATGAGGATCTGACAGCTTATTGATTCAGTTGTGAAAGTTTGTTTATATATGTTGTCTGCTTCGTCTGTGGATTTATTTGCACCGACTAAGTGTATCAATAGTGTATCCGAAAAGTGTGGATTGTTCTGCACAAGCCTTCACCACTTTAATCAAATCACTTGTGTGGGTTTTCTGGCTGTTTACCTTGATATATATATATATATATATATATATATATATATGTGTGTGTGTGTGTGTGTGTGTGTGTGTGTGTGTGTGTGTGTGTGTGTGAAAATAAAGCTGTTACGATGGAAATTTTGATTTCAATTATTAAAACACGTAAATTTCAGAAATACGTTATTCCAAAAAAAAACCGCTTGAAGATGGAACAGAGCTTACTTTAACTCAATTTAATTCAAATAATTATATTGAAGTTTTCGGCTCTTGTTTTGAAACATGAGAACTCTTATGTCGCGAGTTGGAATCATATTTTTAAATTAATAATTATATATATATATGTGTGTGTGTGTGTGTGTGTGTGTGTGTGTGTGTGTGTGTGTGTGTGTGTGTACTGGTGATAGGGTGTCCAATGTTGACCTCGCAAAATGCAACATTGGTTGAATTATACTTTCTTGATGCAGTCAGAACTTCGCAGGGCTGGTCATGTTGCTAGGCGACAGAATACCTAAGGTCCTTGTGTATAGTCAGTTTGGCAGTGGACAAAGGACAGTTGGACCGCCTTTGTTCAGGTATAAAGACAAACTAAAGATAAATTTTTCATCTGTCAATGTGTCTCATACTACTTCGAGCGAGTTGTCCTGGATAGAAATAACTGGAGATATTTGTGCCAGAGTTGTATCAAAGTTCGAAATCAGTTGTATTGAACGACTAAGAGAAATAGATAACGGCGAAAAGCGTCAACAAATATTCCTGTCGCTATGTCCCGAGATCAAAACTGTTGCACAATATGTGCAATTTTAAAACTATAAATCTGTAATTTTGTAATTAATAATAAAATATTACGTATTCGGAGCTGATGAAAGGGTTCTTTTAAAATGATGGTATTAATTATAGTTTATAAAAAAAATGAAATCCTTTTATTTATTATAGACCTTTATTCATCTAGTAGTAATAATAGATTTCCACATATAGCCCATGGATGTCGATGGACCCAAAATACAACAGTTAAAAAAGAACAGAAGTATATTGATAATGATAACCAAATAGACAGAAAAGACATTTGGACCACCAAGAAAAGATTTACTTGAAAGAAAAAAAAGAAATAAACAAACAACCTGAAGGATATATATAGCAACTGCAGAACTTTATCAATTTACGCAACGTATTTTGGCTTTAGGTAGCAATCCTTCATTTATACATGTTTGATTAAAGACGACAGACAAGTACTGCGATTAAGATTTTTATTTAATTTTTCTGAAGAAACTGTTCAAAGCGCTTTCAGCTATACTTTTAGCCATTGTCAAGGATGATTTTATTTTTTTGCTTTTCAATTGAGTGTATGGGTTCTGTGTATGTTTTTAAAGTTATAGAGATGTTTTATTTACCGAACACGGCTAGGATATTTTGGCCGTGTTGGTAGTTAATATTGTTTGTCGTCTTTAATGAAACATTTACATATATATATATATATATATATATATATATATATATATATATATATATATATATATATATATGTGTGTGTGTGTGTGTGTGTGTGTGTGTGTGTGTGTGTGTGTGTGTGTGTGTGTGTGTGTTGTGTGAAAAATAGAAAAAGGAAAGAACTCGTTAGGTAAATAATCCAAAGTTCTTTAGTATTTTTGTTATTATTTTTAAAACAGTGCTCGATGATGGAAACAGAGCTTGGTACTTTAATTCAAATAATTATATTGAAATTTTCGGCTCTTGTTTTGAAGCATGAGAACTCTTATGTAGCGATGGAATCATATTTTTAAATAAATAAATATATTATATATATATATATATATATATATATATATATATATATATATATATATATATATATATATATATATATATATATATATATATAAATTTGCAGGTTAAATATAAGCTTTATATGTGTATATATATTTTGATGCTAAATGTATATATATATATATATATATATATATATATATATATATATATATATATATATATATAGTGTGTAGTATGGGTGTGCATGCGTGCGCGTTACTTCATTTTCTGTTTACTGATGTGTTAATTGCGATGCTTATCTGTGAATATGTATCTATGTTTACTGAAATTTGCAAGCATGTATATATGATAATGCATATGCGTTTTCACATACATCTGCCAATCTATATACCTTTAAAATATTTGTATGTGCGTTTCTATGTTCTTCTTTTCCCGTTTGTGCTTGTAAATGCTTATATCTGCTCACTGTTGTGTGTATGTGTCAGGGAGGTTGACGAGGCGAGGTTGAGAGTAAAAGAGAGATGCTTGCCAGAGGCAGGGGTAGTAGGTGATGGCGTAGGCACTAACTTGGTCGCTTATTCGTCCGTTCGGTTGGTTAGCGGCCTCCAAACCGAAGCACTTTCCCCACCGCCGACACCGCTGCTCTTTTCTACTCCTCACCACTTCCACTGGCGCGTTATCAGACAGTAGGAAAAGGACTCCACTGTTAATCTAGTTTTTGAGTCGCTCACCCAGTGGATGGCTCGCAAATTTGATTTGACACCATATCAAACTACGAATCTCGTGGAATTAGCAGATTTGACCTCCGACCTACACAGAACCCGTTGGCTTCACCCAGCGGATTGGCTGGGCCAAGTAATAAATACTCCTAAACGGGAACTGGATGGGCGAAATGAAAGGTGTGTGTGAGGTCGGGGGGGGAGCAAAATGAGTGAAAGTAGAAAGGAGAAAGTTTGGATACAAAGTAAGAAGGAAATAAGAAACAAAGAAAGAGAAAGAACACAAAAGGAGATAATAAAATGGCAAAAGTAAAAAGAAACGAAGAAAAATCGCGAAATATTGAATGAAAATAGTAGAAAATTTGAAAAAAAAAAGAAAAAAAAAAAAGAACAAGAACCAGAGGCAGTATTAAAATAATGTAAAGGTCGAATGAGATAGGAAAAAAAAAAAAATTCTGGGAGGGGAGAAAAGAACGAAAATATGATCACAATGATTTAAAAAGAATAAGATAATTAAAATGAAGAAAGAAATAAAAAAAAAAGGAAATATTAAAAGTAATATAAAAGAATAAATGAATCTATAACCTCGAGAGACAGAGAAAGAGAGAGAGAGAGAGAGGATTAAAAAGTAAAAATTCGCGCCAAAAGAAACAACGAAAACCCGATAAAAGAAAGAAAAGCGACAGAGAGAGAGAGAGAGAGAGAGAACGATTAAAAAGTAAAAATTCGCGCCAAAAGAAAAAACGAAAACCCGATAAAAGAAAGAAAAGGACAGAGAGAGAGAGAGAGAACGATTAAAAAAGTAAAAATTCGCGCCAAAAAAACAAAAAACGAAAAAAAGGACCGAGAGAAGAGAAAGAACGATTAAAAAGTAAAAAATTGCGAAAAGAAAAAAACAAACCTGATGAAAGAAAGAAAAGAAAGAGAGAGAGAGAGAGAGAGAGAGAGAACGATTAAAAATTAAAAATTCGCGCCAAAAGAAAGAACGAAAACCCGATAAAAGAAAGAAAAGCGACAGAGAGAGAGAGAGAGAGAAAGAGAGAGAGAGAGTGAGAGAGAGAGAGATAACGATTAAAAAGTAAAAATTCAGGCGAAAAGAAACAACAAAAACCCGATAAAAGAAAAACGTGTGTAGTAATACAGACAGTGACAGCAGTGATTAGTTCGGGTTTGTCGAGAAACTATTTCGGAAAATATCTTACGGCTGCGATAATAAGGAAATAGTTCTAAGAGAGAAACGATTTCTACATTTGTGCGTCTTTTGAGAAAACCTCGCATCCGAAGGGCACAAAAGCAATGGGAGATCATGGTGGAAGAATGGACATTCATTGATGGATAGTCGGAACAAAACGTACACATTGTAGAGATCATCAGCACCATCCTAAGCACAATTAACAACATTATCATCATCACGATATACTTTTTAAGATTCGTTATATTTTATGTTCTTTTAATTATTAGTGGCGAATCAATTATTGTCAGAATCTCTGAAGAATGATTTTTGAAATCATCTGTGTTTTCAGTTGCTGTCAATTTTCAAAAATACTAGTTATGCTTTCATAAAATTTTTCTATCAGTTTATCAGTGACGTCCACAATATATTCATAAACTTGCTTGAACCTAATGATTTCTCTCTCAGTATTTCAATAAGATTCGCAATAGCTTCTTAAATTTATCTTACCTAAGTTTTTCCCAAATTTTCAATGTTTCCTTGAAGGATATCGGCAGCTCTGAATTCACTGCTAAAATTTCTATCCTACATTTTATTTTAAAGTCGACATCGGCGTTTTTCTTTCATTTGGAACCAAAGGGTTTTTCTGCTCGGGAAGTACAAGAAATCAGCATTTTCGTAATAATTATATCCGTCTTTGTTAAAATGATCGGTATTCCATGTAATAACAGTGTTTACGGAATTGTTTCGCTCACCGACATATTTAAAGCAATAAAATACATAATGTCTAAAAAAACAAAACAAAAAACAAGATGCTTTCTTTTACCGCTAATTATAGCAATAACAACAACAAATAATAATAATAATAATAATAATAATAATAATAATAATAATAATAATAATAATAATAATAATAATGAGCACCACCAAGACCCGGTTACGGAGATAGGTCTTGTAACTATTTTATGGAACTTTACAATAAACACAAACAGAATAATCAAATCTAATCGCCCTTACATCTTGATTAGAGACCGCAAAGACAAAATATGTCTCATTATTGACATGGCAGTCCCGGCAGACTGCATTGTATCTTTGATGATCTTCAAAAAACTATCAAAATATAAAGACCTTGAAATCGAAATCATAAAAATGTGGCGCATGAGGACATTAACAATTCCACTTGTAGTTGGAACCCTCGGAATAACGAGAAAGGATTCCAATAGACAAACTGAAGGGATTCCTGGTAACCCATGCCTTAAAGAAATTCCAAAAATATTCTAGGTACATATATTTGAATCCCATGGAAAATAATGCTATTTGCGATTATATTAATAAACTTGTTCCATACATTTTATTGATAATTCCGAGTGTTCTAATTATTATAGTTATCACAACAGATTTAAGATGCCGCATTTTCACCAAATCAAGTTCTTATCTGTCATATGATTTTATTTAATGGTACTGCCATATCAATGAGAAGGCATATTTTTGTTTAACCGTTTTGATTAATATGTCTGGTTTATTAGCTGTCAGTAACGAAAAAATAAGTCCCAGTAAAGTCGGAGACCTCTATGACTGTTTGAGGGTGATGTTCATGTTATTTTCCAACATATTGTGCACTATAATATTGACATATATTCTAGTACAGAGGGACCTCAGTTGTCGAACTTCTAACATGTCAAACAAATCGGTTTTTGAACAGAAAATTCGAGATGAAAATGCATTGGTTAACGACCAAAATTTCGGTTTTCTAACAACATAGCCGAACCGAATTAACACGAACTTAATCCGACTCGACCGCTGTGCTGTATGCATTCGTGTGTTGTGCCGTGCTTTTCTTTTGCAATTTTATTTTACTGTAACTTTTTTCTCTACATTGATTCCTATTGGAAAATAGTTTTAGTTTACGAACATTGCAGGTTGCGAACGGTCTTCAGGAACGAATTAAATTCGTGAATCGAAGTTCCACTGTATATATATCTTGATACATTTTCCAATATATAAAAATGCATATGTTGATATAACTTACTAGAAAAAAAAAAACTATATAACTTCTAATGAATAGTATTATCATTATTAATATCATTATAATTTAAAAAATATTTTTGTCCTGCACTGGAATATAATCACGTGCTGAGTCATAGATAATGACTTATGGCTAGCAAAAGTTGGATTTTACCTGTTTACACTTGATTAAACAAAATATAGCTATTAACAAAAACTTAAATGGACAAATGTCTTTACAGACAATGGGTTGTGCTCGTTAAAAGAGATTTCCTGAAGAGATGATAAACCCTGAATTTCATTGATTTGTTCCAGAGGTCCTTTCTTTATTAGCTCCAACCACAGTAAGAAGTGTTTTATTTTTTTAAGTGCACCATTTTTTTTTATATTTCCAGTCTTTGTATTTGATTAGTTTATTCAAAAAAGTTATTGATATTATTTGAGCTCATTGTGTTATATTACACGAACCATAATTGGTGGCTTCAACTGGAAACTAAATGACAGCAAATCTTCACAATATTTTCATATTCTAGTCAGTATTCAGAAGGCCATGAGTTTTCCTCGAAGTTCCAGTTCCACCTGCCATTTTGCGAGATTTTCCTGAATTGTTCACTGCGCTAAAATTTTAATCGGTGTTAAACATACAAATTAATATCGAAACAAATGTATCCCCACACTTAGAATCAGAAAAAAAAGATAGTTGATATTTCTAGGGCACATAATAAGGCAAGTGGGCTTGGAGAATTTGATATTCACAGGGCATATTAAAAGCAAGAGAGACAGAGGAAATCAGTTTTTACACTACATAAAAACTTGTGTAAATTGATTAGAAGCGAAAATTGCTAAGAGCTACAAAGTATAGGAAGTTATGGAGAGCCGTGATTACTTTCATTCTTCATGGATATGGCTCATAGAAGAATTAGTCTTATATGTTATTCGATTATTTGTTTTCTTCTAATAATAATAATAATAGAGTTAAGTATTATTATTAGTTGTAGTAATAGTAGTATTATTAGAAAGAGGAATAAAATTCAACTTCGCGTGTGGTAGGGGAGAATATTTATGACAGGATAACGAAGCAATAAGATTGCAGGTAGGGAACGAATGAGATGTAAGAAAATGTAATGGCGACTAACTGTTAACGCAGAATAGAATGTCCTAAGGCTAACGACCAACTCACTAGTAAATCATCAGCGAATAGTGTGACCTCTGACTTCTATTATTTGTACATACATATATAATCACCAGTTGGATAGACCTCATTAAGACTGGCAAGAACTTGGCATATTTTGCGTCATAACGCTTTATGAATTGGTATTTTAAAATAAATATAAGAGAAAAGAAGTGAACAAAATATAGAGAAAGAATGGAAAAGGAAAATAAAAAAAAACAAGAAAAAAGACACAAAAACGCTAAAAAATTGACAGAAATGAAATAAATTAATAATCAACGTTTCATTTAATTAGAGATAATTAATGAACGAAAAGAAAAATGCAAATATCAGATAAGAAATCTATGCACAGAGAGATAGCGTATAAATATAATTTTAAACGAGCCTGATAATGACAAAGACTATATATATATATATATATATATACATATACGAGCTTGATAATAAAAAAGACTATATATATATATATATATATATATATATATATAAAATTATTTATATTTATACGCTATCTCTCTTTGCATAGAGTTCTTATCTGACATTTGCATTTTTATTTTCGTTCATTAATATATATATATATATATATATATATATATATGATAGGACGATATGATTTAGTGATAGAAAATAAAACCAATATTTAGCGATGATGCCAAGTAAGAAAGTAATAATTAAATGTGGATGAATAATGGAAAGGAATATTCTGGAAAAAAGTCACAAAGACAAGAAAGAGAAAAGCAAATGTAAGATTCATCTACAGAAAAAAAAAGGATCTACAAAGAAGTGGGGAATAGAATGTAATCGAAGTGAAAAGAAAAGTCCATAAGTATAAGAAACAGTGAGTGAGTAAAAAGAAAATAGAGAAATATTTCGCGAGAGAAAATATAAAGTAATCTTTAAAAGAAAGAGAAGTAGGCAAAATTTACGGAGAAGAAATTGAGAGGAAGAAACATGAGAGAAATTTGATGAAGAAAGTCAAGAAATATTGATAAGTAAAAAGAAACGTTCTTATGTCTAAATGATCCACTAACATTTCCTTAAAATGCGTAAATCGTAATCGTCTTAATGGTATATGTTATTTTTTAATTAGAAAACAACCTTTGATAGTATATGAGTAATAAGTTTCAGTTTGACTGCCCATTTATTTTATCAAACTGTCATAAAAATAGGCGACATATTAAGATACCGAAACCAATAGAATAGACTTTTAAGATTTGAATTATACGGGAATGCAAACTTTTCAGCTTTAATCATTGCGAATATAAATATTAGCGTTTGATTGTGAGGGGAAATCAGGGATTGATCTCCTCTGATTGGGTCGATTTGGTGATGGGGAGTATGATGTTGATCAGACCCGAAACTCCCTGATGAACTAAGTCAAAACATCACTGACGACCCCCTCGGGCGCCTACTTAAAAGCGTATTTTTGAATTAGGTTGTAAATAAAAATTAAAAAAACAAACAAACAAAAAAAATTTTTTTTTTTCTGAAACAATAACATTTTTTTGAGCAAAAAAGAAAGACATATAACTTATTTTGATTTTAAACAAATAAGTAATCTATCCAAAAGCTTGGCAGAGTATTACGAGACAGGAGGATTTTTTTGGTAACAAAGAAAAGGGTACTGATCTGCTACGTGACATCTGTGCTCCTTTACGGCAGAGAATGTGGGGCGTTCTCCTCAAAGATGAAGAAGGGACACGAGGCAACAGAGGTATGGTTCTGCAGAAGGATGCTGAGGATATCATGGACCGAGCGTGTGAGCAGCGATGAGGTTTTGAAGAGGATGCAAACAAGGAGGAAGCTTATACTTAAGATCAATAAGAAGCAGGTGAAATTTCTGGGAGATGTAATGAGAAAGGAGGGCCTGGAAAATCTGATACTCACATGTCGAATAAAGGGAAAGAGAGACAAGGGAGAGCAATGCATGACCTACCTGGCGGGATTAAGCAAGTCGATGACAGAACACGGCCTGGGCAAGAA